GTTGACCAACTACACAGAAGAGCTAAAGAAAAAACCATATGCTTCACATTGGAAAGTATCATTTTACATTAGCATTCTCGCTGAATTTCCACTCCCGTAAGTCATGAAACTTTTGTGTCTGTCAAGTGAACCAGGTTCCAGCATAGCACAAAAAAACGAAAAGTTCATATCTTGAAGTGACAACACAGAATAAAAACTGTCGGACGAAAAAATGACGCCTGTATCTGCAAGGCAATCAAAATTCGCTCCTTATTGATGACTTACAGCTAATTCGGCAAGAGCTACGGTAACATATGAATGAATAGACATAAATTGGATGGTTGCTATCATTTTCGCCATTTTCATGCATCTGATGAAGTGATATTGTTGGAAGGAAAATAAAGAAATCGAGCAAAAAGTCTCTGAACCTGTCACCTTTCATTACTAAGAGCTGATAAAGAGGAAAACGGGTTCTTTCGTTTCTGCAAAACAGCCATTTTCTGCACTGATATATTTGAATGAGAAATGATGCGATTCCACATCTAAATCAGTCACACTGTTAACAATGAAATGAGAGGATAAAATGTATGCATCATTATCAAACCATAAGAACTACTCACAAATTTTTAAAACTACACGCAAACTCTTCAGAATCTCTCATGACAAGAAGTATTTACTAGTAGATTGAGATGCATGCATGAAGCACTTCAAGAACGTCATGCGAAAAAGAAAAGCAAATAAAGGAGAACCAATGCGAATAAAAAAGTGAATAAAAAGTTCTGTTTACAGCGCTCGTGTGCTGCCGTCTAGCATTTCAGTAAACAGCTATGACTGCATTCAAAAAGCTTTTCTGACGCATATGTTAATAGAAATGAACTCAATAAAGCTTCAGAAAAATTTGAAGGAAAAACACTTTGAGCAACAGAACAAACCTGTATCGATGGTCCAGCAGCACCGGCAGCCGGTGATCGCCCAACTCGCCGTCCAGAGCACTCTTCCATCCACTCCTCGTGCTCGCTCATGTCTCCCATCTGGAAGCCATAGCAAGGCAGGCTTTAACGTTCATTTTAAGGGAAAATAACACGAAAATTAGTTTTAGATGGGCGAAGCAACGTAAGCGAGAAGAAAATCGAGAAAATGAAACCCAAAATATGAAGGAAGACCGAAGTTCACAGCCTGATCGATTATGGATACTAACAACACCCGAATGCATAGAATAAGCAAGTGAATCAAAAGAAACTTCAGTATTTATATTGGGAATTAGTGGTCAAGCAGATTTGTGAGCTTTTGAATTCGATACTTTCGCTGAAATCAAAAAATAAATTGAAAATTTTGTGGAATAAAAGTCTGCCTAAAGGCAGGAAAGCGTTTCGGAAGATTGG